TATGGTGAGAATCAGCAGCTGTGGAGCAAGATTTAGAAATTGAGGACGCACCGCCGTCTTTTAAATCGGAGGTGAGGAAACAGTTTGTCTTCCCCAAGACATAAAATGAAAGAGGTGGAAAATAACAGACGAGACAAAAACTGTGTGCAAATATTACAAGAAGACAGAGAACTACACAAAGAGCACAACCAACATGATGCAGCATTTAATCCACACCACAATGAGGAGCTCCAATCACCTCCCCTTGTTGGAGAAAACAAACATTAAAAGGCCAAACCACACTGACAAGCAGGTTTACAGCCCCTAAAGGAGTCTTTTTCACTCGTCGTTTGTCTTCAGTCTCATTTAGTAAAATAAATCTTAGGAGAATCGTATCGTGAATCGTTACATCCCTAGTTCTGATATATCTGTGAGTCACTGCAATTTTGTCTAACCAATATACCAGTATGTGTCCGGCTCTTCTCTAAACCACGCTGAATCTAAAATTATGTGATATCATCCCACATTCCTTTTATGCCCTAAAATCATTTGCATACTTCATTAAATATGATACTGCAGAAACGTGGTAACGTCTTCTAAAAAAACAAGATGTTCATCATTGATTTCCAAAGAGTGTCTCGGGCTTCTAATAACCTTGTAGCTGTACTGCAAATTACGCTGCTGTTACACTATCTTACACTACATCTTCTTATTTGCATGCCTGTAAATGTAAATAGGGCTGATACTGGAACATACACAATAAACACTCATGGAGCGTCAACACACCAAAAATCCATTACATGAATGTGCATGATATATTTATGCTAATTTTTTTTTTATCTGTTCATAGTGGAGGCTTGTTGATGTAAAAGTGCTGCTGCCTTGAGTGTTCAGTGAAGCGTGGAAGAACTGCCCCACACACACACACACACACACACACACACACACACACACACACACACACACACACACACACACACACACACACACATTGAGAGAGACACACATTCAAGCACACACACACACACCGTCTTCCCCTTTATTTTGCCTCGGCCCCTCCTGGGACCGGAGGTGATGATGATCTGCAGTAATTGAGGAAGACGTATGTAGAATGCAGAAAGAGAGAGGAGGCACTGGAGGGCGGAGGAGAGTGTAAACTGCTGATGCAGATTTTGTACCAAAACGCCTCGTGGTGCCTATTTCTGACGGACGCCAAGTCTCCTGAGGGTTGTTTCACATGAAAATCTGTAAATTGTAACACAGAAAATCATTTTTTTTCTCCCGCTCAGCTTCCAGAAACTAAAGACAGATTTCTAGAGTTGTTCAACATTTCTGTAGGTTTAATGAGGTTTAACTTTTAGAAAAAGCTAAAAATCCTTGACAGAAGTAACACAGTTGTTAAAGTGTATTTGCTGTATCAGTGCACAAGTATATATGTGTGTGTGTGTGTGAACCCACTCAGGGCAATGTGTTTTATATGCTAATTTTGTTAATGTGTATAAGCTGCTCCATCCCATTCTCATTAGGATTTCATTAGTCTCTTTTATGGAAATGCACAGCGCCTATACTGCAGTGCATCTCCTGCACCAGCCTGGCTGCCTGACAGTAAACTCAGCTGTTTCCTCACACCAACACAACCTCAGCCCAGTTTTTGTCACCGAGACAAAAGACAGATAAATGGCTTAGAGAATCTTGTTTTTACTTAGATTCAGTTTTATGAAGACAAATTGAAGGCACTTGAAAGAGAAAATCAGGCAGCTGTTGTCTGTTTTTTTGTCTTGGTGTAGTTTTCCCCTTTTAATTCTTAATCAATGTGGATCCATCTAGGGGCTGCGCACATTGGTGCAGTGGTTAGCGCTGTTGCCAGCGAGAAGGTTCCTGGTTCGATCCCTGTTGGATTCTCTGTGTGGAGTTTGCATGTTCTCCCTGTGCATGTGTTGGTTTTCTCTGGGTGCTCCGGCTTCCTCCCACAGACCAAAGACATGCTTGTTAGGTTAATTGGTGACTCAATTTGCCTGTAGGTGTGAATGTGAGTGTGGCTGGTTGTCTGTCTCCATATGTCAGCCCTGTGATTGTCAGGCAAACAGTCCAGGGTGTACCCTGCCTCTCGCCCAATGGCAGCGGAGATAAGCCCACCGTGACCCTGAACGGGACAAGCGGTATATATAATGGTTAATAATAAAGTGATGGAATAAGATTTAAAGTTAACATTAAAATGTCTTTCCTGAGACACATGATACTACATTTGAACTTTGTATTCTCAAAATAAAAATATGAACAGTGACTGGCCTCAAGGATGAATCATTATAGTTAACAGTCTAACTTTGCAACATAATCTTGTCTATGCCCCAAAGCAGACGTGACTGAAACCTCACCCTGACATCCAGCTGTCTATATCCTGATCCCCAACACCTGAGCACTGTCACTGATAGAGGTGGGGGAAAATATCGATTCATGTAAATAACAAGATTCTTCTCTTCTAACACTTAAAATCGATTCATAACTTCCAAAAATTGTTTTTTCTTGTTTGTTTGGTTTTTTTTTGGGGGGGGGGCTAATCATCCAGTCGCTGCTAAGTGCTAAGGCTAGCTCTTTAACTCAGTAGAGTGCCAAAATAGAGCAGCAAAAAATTCCACCAGAGTAGATCCTGAAGTATGTACTAATTCATAAATAGACTTTGAATCCATGGATCCAGAATCGTTTTGAATCGAAGCGTGACCCCAAGAATCGAAATCCAATCGTGAGACACCCCAAAGATTCCCAGCCCTAGTCACAGACCCAGACTGCTGCATCATCCAGTTTGGATTGAACTCTTGGAGATGACTAACGGCACGAGATGTCCTCATGCAGTTCAGGAGTGACACAGTGTTCTCTGGTAGATTGCTATTGTTGGATTTTTCATGTAGCGTTGGATGTTTTCCCGTTTGGTAATTAACATTGCAGATGTATAAATTAGAGGGCTGTTGTACATGCAGCTGTGAGAACATGAAAAGCATCAGTGAGGGGGGGGGGCGGCAATAATCCTGGAGCATTGTTGATGATAAAAGTAAGGTGTGACTCCGCTTGCAGGCATCTCTCCCTCTCTCACATCCTCTTTCCTTCAAGTGGAGCAGTGTCCCGTGAAATTGGGATCTAAATTACGAGGCCGTTGTACTCTGTGTGAGGGTTTTTGTTTTAAAAAACGACCTGCTATAACCGGTAAGGACATCAGCTGGACCCCAGCAGTCAGCACCAGGCGATCCGCGGGCCTGACTTTAGGTTTGGTTCGAGACCGTTCCCAAAAATAGATAGAATGTTTCCCGTAGAGGATAAGTCGGTTATATCAGCGTCATCACTGTCATCACTATCAGCTCAGGCCCATGACAAAGATGGTGAGGATTTTGGAGTTAGAGTTATAAATTAGGGCTCCTTCTCCTGTTTGTCTGCCGCCCTGCTCGTCTCTGCTCCTTCCCCCTGAAAGGTTGTCTTTATTTGAATAATAAGGCGCTTATCTCGGTGCATTACTATTCCGCCGGCCACTGCATTCTGTCTATATCACTCCTCCTCTCCTCCCCCTCTACACTTTCTCTTCATCATACACTCGTCCTTTCATTCAGTCTTTTATCTTCTCCCCTGGCCCTCACCTCTCCTTGTCCTTCTTTCTCTGCACTAAAGAGAGAGACGATATATTGGACTCCAAAACATAACAGAGAGCACTTTATGGACTTATTTTCTCCCTCTCTTATAAAATGTCTTCAATTGCTTCTCTGTCAGAATTTAGGAAAAAAGGAAAAGTCTGTATTTCTTTTGCTCCACTTTTAAAAGTTCCAAGTTTTTTTTACTGTGAATGTATTTTTTAATTTTTCTTCCAATTGGTTTATATATGTTTTTTCTTTCCTTTTTAAAACTGTCACAATGCAATTGATCGAATAAGATGCTGTGATTTGGACTTGAGCTTGTATATCGCTTTTCTAGTCTTCTGACTACTCAAAACACTTTTCCACCGCAGGTCACACCTACACATCCACACACTGATGGCAGAGGCTGCTATGGAAAGTTACCATCAGAAAAAAACTAACCCCATTTATACTCATACCTTCCGGTTAAGAGATTACCAACTGAGCCACAGCTGCCCCACAGCTGCTAAATCTTATACCAGCCGCTGACTCAAACAGTTAGAGGATTAGTCAGGTTGTTAACAAGCAACCACATACAGTATATAAAAGAATGAAGGGTCTACATTCAATAATCGTGTAAAGGTAGCAGACAAACTATAACTGGATTAACTCTTAGATGTTATACTTTGTGTTATTTCTGTGTTATTTGATAAAGGGGTTGTGCTTTTGATCGTCTCTCCACCTTCGGTCCCTGAAACACAAATCTGAAAGCCCTGATAGTGGTTTGTGATGTGGACCCTGTCAGTGTTGTGTCATATTTCTGATGGGTCATCACTTACAGTAAAACCTTCAGGTACAGATTTAGCTCCGCCTCCATGTCCCAGATGGAGATAAGCCCTCCCATATGTTTGGAACAGCCCAAATGTTGTGTGCTGAAACGCCATATGGAAGAGGCCAGTGCTGCAACTCAGGCTTATCTGATTGGTCGTCTGCCGGTTGGGAGGGGTAGGAGGTAGAAAAAGCCATTTGTCAGCAGTATCTGCCACTCAGGACGAAGCCAACACGATGTGGACAAAACTCAATTTCAGCATTAATGGAATAATACCACGGTTAATGTGCCGTCTACTGGAGCAGAACACGAGGTTATCCCAGGGTCAAACCTTTGGATGCTGAGAGGCGGACCACGTGGGCACTTTCTCTAGATTCACAGTCATGCTTAATTCAGATTTCCACGGTTGTGATGTTAAATTAAAAGATAATTGAAATTTCCTACGGTTCTGCGCTCCTCTCCTTACACGCCTTTATTACCTGCCTTGAACTGTCAGGAAACCAGGAGATGCTGCTTTTGTCCTTGTCCACCGTGAACTTTCTCCAGAAGACACAGGGGGGGTTGATAATGTGTGTGTTCCTCTCTTCTCTCTGCAGGGCTACTTCTTACTGTTTGAGTCCATGTTGGACTCTGTCCTGTACGCAAGAGACCTCTACCTGGCTGACACAGGCTCAGGTAGGTCAACTACTCTCCCAACTATACTACATTTAAAAAAAAAAAAATGAAAATGTAGAATGAAAAAAAATGAAGGACTTTCAAGCAGAATCTCAGCTCTCAGGTGAATCCCTCGGGCCGTTTCCTTGTCCTGCATTGGTTTTTTTTACGTCAAGTCTTCCTCCTGAGACCCCCCCCCCCCTCCCGTCCCACATGGATAATGTCCCGCTGTGAGAGACACGTATCAACAGCCAGATCAGGAAGATTTCAGGGGCCACTTGCCTGAAATTTTCTTTCAAAACAAATGGAGGAATGCATATGTGAAAGCAGCTAGTGACTCAACACTGCAAACCAGGCTGCTTCAGGACCTACACATGTTGAAAACTATCAAAGTGGCAGAAAAAGGTGGGGAGGAGTGTCAGGGGGCGTGGCTTTGCTTTGTTAAAACTACTGTATAGTGGTATAGACAGCCACACCCACCTTTCACCATCTTCAGGCGGGATCGTTTTCTTTTTGTTTTTTTTTGAAAGTAGGCTGCACTACCTCTGTGGTGCTCCTCAACACAACTAAGCTAACCAGAATCAGAGGCTCAGGGCCGCAATAAACAAAAATCCCATCTATCAACAGCACTGTGGCCAATACAGACTCACCAACACTTATTTCACTTGGCGTGCAGTAGCTGACTTCAAATTGAAGTGGTACCAAAATGCCTCTTTGAACACTGGGAAGACTGAGCAGACTAAATTAAGGTTAGGCCCAGCATCCTCCCAACCTGCTGCTGTTTAATTGTCAGCTGATAGCTGATTCAGTGTCAGACCTGCGGCTTCATAACAAGCGTAGTGAGGCGCACGTGAAGCGCAGCACTCACACAGTTGGGATACTCTCAAATGTGGTTGGTAAGCTTTTCAGCAGGAAAGCAGTTTCCAGTGTAGATTTTCTTACATTTAAACTTTTATTAAAATTATTATATTTGGTAACACCTTGGATGTTGTTGTTGTTGTTGTTAAATTACAGTCAGGTCTGATTCCCCTCCCACTGAAGAGTGTGAATGGGCCCGTGCAGTGTGAAACCGAGGTCAGATCAGCTCTGATTTTCATCCATCAGCAGGGACAGAGTGTTCATGCTGGCCCCCTGTGGTTAGTACAGGAAACACATCTGGAAATGATTGGAGTATCTGTCATGTATGACATGTACAGAAACAAGAGTGTGTGTGTGTGTGTGTGTGTGGGTGTGTGTGGGTGTGTGTGTGGTGTGTGGTGTGTGTGTGGTGGTGTGGGTGGGTGTGGGTCTCCTGGGTTGTTCCATCTCTTCCACTGACCAGATTTAATGGCTTGTGCCGAATGTGACCCAGCTAAAGAACTGTTCCACCACGCTGCCTTTAGTGGCTCTTTGGGACACCAGGGAGAGGTCACACACTCAGACAAACACACATTCACTCTCACACACACACTGATGGACAACCGGCGTGGCTGAACCTATAGAGACAGATTTGACGGTGAGGGAGATTGGACAGGCGAAGGTTTGACCTGAGTGAGGCAGAAAGTGACAGGTCAGAGGACGCCGTATGTCTCGTCATGAGCCTTTAAGCCTGACGCTCTCGACACGAGCTGAAATCACTGGATCTAACACTGGTGCATTACCAGGATGAAGTTTGAATAAAAACATCCAGAATGCAGAACAAAAGTCTGGCAGCATTGCCTTCAACCAATGGTTTCCCTACCTGATGATGCTGTGATAGATTTTTTAGTAGAAATAATAACTCATTCTAGGGAAGCTTGTTTTTATTAGTTTAGTGTCTTAGTCTATAAACCAGGTTCAGCTGATCCTACACAGTTTTCAGGTAGAAAAGGTTCATTTTTAATTTGATGGCTCTAATCCCACCGCAGTTCATAATTGATTTGGTGTTTACAAAGTATTTTTAAATGGTATCAGCAAAACACTTCTACAATTCTACAGTTCACTTAGCAGATGCTTTTATCCAAAGTGTTGTGTGTAGTTTTGTCCTGATAAAGTAAAGCCTGACAAAATGACTTTGAGACAGTTGGTTAGTTAAATGTTGGATATCGCTCAATTCCACGTGTCACATTCTGTGTTATTTTTAATAAATGATAGTATCACTGAAGCTTTAAAAAGTCGCTTCTATTTTGGGAATTTCAAAAGCATTGCCAACGTATTTGTGCAATGTAGACAGGGTGTACGAGTTCTCTTGCTACTTTTGATTTTAGAAAACAAGAAAGTTCCCAATATTAGCGGCTGAGGACTTTGTGTTATAAAAACAGAGATCAATATAATTTAATCTTTACTAGTATTATATCGCAGTATAAAATTCTGTAATCATGACAACCCTAGATTGTCAGGTTTCATGTTTTTGGTTATTCACTCGGCAATTATAAGAATATTGAGACAGACGAGCTATTTTATTGAAAATCACACATTTTGTTTCGTAAAATTTCTGATATTGCAAAAAATACTTCTAGTTTATTTCTCTGCCTTATTCAGTCTGTGTCGTGCAAGGCACTGCAAATAGATTTGTTCACTGTGTCAGCACTTGAGGGGAGGCCCCTCGGTGCTGTTTGTGTTCAGAGGTAAACATCCCCAAGGCGGTTTTTGTGTGAAAATCTGCAGAGCAAATACTTCAGCATGTCAGCACAACCAGACCGTGCATTGATGCAATAACAGGAACCAAAGGATGTCCCTTCACTCTTTAATTTATTGACTCTTGATCCAAATACATTCAATAATTCATCAGCTTCTATTCTAAAGTTTATTCTGAGATTTAGAGAGTGTGTGCACATGGCTGTGTTGAGTTCTTAGCCAGCCCTGCAGCGCTGCAGCCGTATGTGTGTTTAAGCTACATTAGTACAGAGTTACAGCAGCTCCCTCATTCTCCTCACTACATTAACCTCCCCTTCATCCTTAAATGTGTCCCCGCTTGCCTGGCACTGTGCAGTGTCCAGGGAGAAGGGATCTTTTTTCTTCCATGCCCCCCTCCCACATTGACTTTCCCTTTTTCACAGACGACCAATGGGGGAGATGGAGAGAGCAGGAGGGGGTTGGTGGTGGGTGTGGGGGGCTTGACAAACGGGCTGGGAGCAGCGAGTCGAGAAGGACGCAGATGTCAAAGCCATGAATCTGGGGACGCCCATGTACCCCCCCCTTCTCTTCTTCCTCTTCATCTTTCTCCCTCTCCATCCACATCACAGCACCCCCTGCTTCCTTCACCTATCCATCTCTCCGTCTCCATTTCTTTTTCAGTTTGTCTCTCAGACGGGCCTGTCCCGATTCTGCTCAATCAGCAGCCTCCTCCCCCTCCCCACTTCCTCTTACCTGGCCGGCATAAATTACTCACTCAGTTCAGTAATCAGAGTAAAATGGATTGACAAATCTGCAGTTTGAGTATGTGTGTAAATGTGTGCGTGCGCAGTCATTAGGTATGGTGAGTTGGGGCGCAGTGACGGCAAACTCGGTTGCCCGTCACTGCGCTGTCACCATCCATACACACATTTTATGGTCCTGTGTGTCGAAGGTTATGTGAGACTGAGCACGAACGCAACATGTCAGGCAAAATAAATATAACATCTGAAGGCTTCTATTTTCAAAAGTATGAAATATGGCTGTCAAAAGTTTGTATTTTGGTCATTGGTGGAGAATACAGGCTGATGGGAGGTTGTTCTCTTAGTACAATTTATGTATCCCTGCAATCCCCCCTTTCCACCCTTTTCTTCCTATTGGAACTTGTATTCTAACAAAAGTGAAAAGTAGTTTATCATTCCCATGTTTTTGCCATGAAATAGCATCAATGCATTCGTCAAGACTTCTCAAACTATTACTGTATCTGTGACCGATGTAGTTCAACACTCAGGGTCCAGTGCAGAGATTCCCTCAGCGAACAGCCCGGCGCTCATTAGTGTAACTTCTCCCTCTCTGACCAATCAAAATCATAATCATTCAAGAAGGGGCGGGACTTCTGAGATCAGCTTTGTCAACAACAATGGAGGAGGAGAAACTAATCTTACTCGTCTTTTCGAGGGGTCCAACTTCCAGGTGTAGAACTGCTGCTAATGCAGGGACAGGTGGTTTGGATTGGTGGTATAGCGAATAGGTAGAAGTTAACGTTCTTAACCTAGCAGTGAGAAGCGCTCTAAAACTAAGTTGATTGAAAAAGTGCTGTGAATGGACGCATGGCCTTATTCTGCTAACATCAAGTAAGCTGTAACATATGAAAATACATTGTCCGACTTTGGATGCTACTACAACAAAAGGATCACGCCCACACTGATGCTGGAATTAAGAAAGGAACAAACCTGCTCCTTCAGTAGCTTGACAATGTATTGAGTCAGCTTATTAAAGTCCACCGTGTTTATTGATGCAGGGTTATGGGATCCAGACGCTCCGACAAAGCTTCTATTTAGATCACTGTTACATCTTTAATTTCCTAACTAGTTGCTTTATATCGGCTGGTTCTGCTACCAAGCTTTACTGCTGCTGCTAGCTGTTTGCTGTTTGCTATCTGCAAAGTCAAACTGATTTCTTTAGATATTTATTACCATTGCTGCTAACAGTTTGTTGTGCTTTCTACTGTTGAGTCTAACACCTGATCTGCTGCTGCTGCTGCTAAATACTCATATGCAGTTTTGTGCTCGTACCCTTTGCCTGATTTATTTACTCTGGTTGTTTCTCCATTGGCGGAAAGCTTGCTGTATCTAGCTGTTGCTACTTTTAACTGCTAATGCTTACAACTTTCTGTCTTTGGGTTAGGGTATTCATCAACTATTGTTGTTGCTCTCATTAATGGCTGCTATTGTGAATAATTATTTGATCTTATACTCTACAATTAATACGATACATGCAGTGCATTAATGTATTGTAGACATGTGGGAGATCGCCTTGCCTATTTCCCTGTCAAAGTTATTGTGATGCCTTTGTTAGATATGTTTGGGATTACTGTCAGCTTTGTAGATATTTCTTCCTAACTCTCATCTCATGAGCGTCTCATATGGGGACATCTTCTTGCGTAACTTATTGTGGCTGTAACATGCATGTAAAAAAAAAAACAAGTTTTATATATCCTCACGAGTGTATTGTAAATCTGGTTTAGGCCTTGGGCCTCTGTGTGGGCTAATGTTACTTCACAGTAGGGATACTCAGGGCTGCAAGCATCTCAGCTCTGTCTTAATCACCATGCATATTAACCATACAAAGGAAGCTATTCAGATGTGAAAAGACAATGAGAAGACACATTAAGGCTCACGTTTAATGCTCATTTTGAGACATGGGTAATGTTCATTCAACAGACAGTGTTATGTAATACGAGGAAAATCAATAATCACTGCTTAAACTCCGTCTTCAGAGCTCTGAAAAATGAATGTAGGATTACACGTCTGGAGCGACTGACCGACAAGTCCCGTCTTTTCAAATCAAAAGCTTGTCTGACTAAAAAGAAGCCATTGTGATTTCATAAACAATCGTTTGTCTAAGACAATAAAGAGTCGAGTGTCAGCCATGACACCTTGTGTTGAAATGTTTTGGCCTCTGGCAAAAATGATTCCAAAACACATCATTTAACAAATGTTTTTAAATCCACTCCTTCTCAAGTAATGAGTATCTTTTAAGCACAGAATCCCATCATTTTTTTTTTACAACCACAACCACTGCATAGTTATCACTGCTGATGGGAAGTCAGAGAGAGGGAGCTCAATCAACATTATTAAGTGGGCTCTGTGTCCTCATTTAGCATGTTTTACCTGAGGTAATAACAGGCATAATGAACAATGAGATAATGGAAGTCTGTTTTGTTCTTGTCTGCTTGAAGAAGAAAATGAGGTGCCCATTTTTTATCTCCTCTGGTGTAATGGAATTTTGCGCTGCAGAGGAAGTTGACTCATTTAACTTTGATTGCCAGTGAAATACCTAAAGATGTTGCTTTTTAAGGTTGCTAGTATTCAAGAGATGAAAACATGGCTGCCATGATGACCTCATTGAAAAACATAAATGGGATTTTGGTATTCAAACCCTCAGGAGGCAATGAGATCATTTCTGCATATTGTGTGTACTCTTGGTGTAGAGACTTATGAGCATGTTTCAGCCAAGCATGCTTGAAAAGATGATTCTCTGGAAGCTTCAAGAGAACAAATCTCTGTAAGATAAGATAATCCTTTATTTATCCCACAACGGGGAAATTTACATTGTTACAGCAGCAAAGAGCAAAGATTAAAAACAAAAAATAAACACAGTACAATTTAAAGAAAAATTAAAAATGTACAAAAAAATAGATAGATACCACAATATAGATTTAAACAAATAGATCAGCTGAGCTACAGTTTTGACAAAAACTGTGACCAGGTTATGCCCAGGTCAGACACTTTCTTTTGTCTGTAACAATGGTCACTGTGTAAGATCAGGCAATCACCGAGCCATATGTTTGTACCTTGACTTGACCGACAGACATGACGGACTATGTGGTGGTACTTGACCGATCATCACAATCGGCTTAAAAAAGGAAGGAGGAGAGACAGGACCGGACAACTACGGGAAAACCCTGCTGTTTCCAGAGGCCTATAAACTTTTCCCTATTCTCATAGCTCCATCGCGAGGCATCAATTTCATCGCTCTTCGTTCAAATTGCCATTGCGTTTGTTAACGCTTGTAACTTTTTCACATGCAGAGCTCTCTGTGCTCTCATTGGTCAACATCACGGACATGATGGAACACATCGTAGGAGGCAGAAAATAAATCAAACATGCCAGACTTTTTTTTGTCAGGAGGTCATGAGGCATCCCTGATGTGGCTTTTATTGAGGCTCACTATTACAATACTTTTTTGTCCCCCAGGGGGAATCTTATTGTCAAAGCATTGCACAGTTGGTACACAGGTATACATATATGATGACATGGCACATTGAAGAAAACAGACACACAACACAAGATAAATGATCGGTTTCCGGGAGTGACGGGTCCTGAAACCTTACATCTCCCAGATCGGGCTTTAACCGTTCTTATAACGTGAAGTCTGATGTCGCATTTCTTAAAGCCTTTACTGAAGAGTTGAGGCTTTTATATTCACGTTAATGTCAGTGAGATTGAAACAACACTTATTATTAAGTTTAACTGTCCTCATTTCATTCTTTTTTTACATGTGTAAGAGTATGAAAGTAGGACAAAGTGGTCATCAGGCCATGTTTTTTGTACATGTGATGGATTTAGTCATTAAATCAGCCTCATGAAATTGATGCAGAGCTCCACACCCACAAGATGTTGAGGCGTTCTGTGATTACATTTTTTTTAATGGTTTTCCAGCCATTGATATTAAGCACGTTTCTGCACTGAGGAAGAAGGTTTTACGAGACACACATTTGCAACAATCCTTTTCCTTTAGTTGTGATTAATGATATTTGCTTTAGAGCCAGACAGCCTCCTGATGTTATGCACTCACTGATGACCAGACAGCCTTAGAATAGCTGAGCAGTGACACTGATTTGTTAAAATGCAGTGACCCCAAAAAATAATGGGAGTGATGCATTTGTTTGGTGCGCTTATTTCTTTTGGATGTGTAGTTCATTGTTAAGAGGTTAAAGTAACACATTTTGGTTCAGTATACATTATTCAACCAAAACACTTCAAAGTAATTTTTTTAAAGGTTTATTTTTGCCTTTTTTTTAGACATAGGACAGTGGATAGAGTCAGAAACCAGAGAGAGGGAGAGTGGGGAATGACATTCAGGAAAGGAGCCAGAGGTCAGATTTGAACCTGGACCGCATGCTTGGAGGACCATTAGCCTCCGTGCATGGGGTGCGCACACTAGCCAATAGGATACCGGCAACCCCCTGAAGTAGTTTTAATAATAGACAATATAACCTTTTTTTATTCCCTTTCCATGCCCTGAATACCCCAACTCACACCAAGTGATTAAAGTTGGAGTGGGGACAATCACGGAAAGTGCTTCATGCTTTAGGTCTTTGCTATCTGTGAAAACGCTGTCATGGAAAACCTACTGTCCTGGTCTTTGCTCCATAACCTCAATGCATTAGTCAACCCAACGGCAAAAAGGAAGCTGCCAGTGCATTTCCACCAACGATACTACAATTGGCCGTTGGTGTAGGTGATGAAGGCTTTCGTTGTCGCACTTTCAACTTCTTGGCTGGACTGTCGAGCCTGTTGTTCTACTTTTGACCGTTAAAAAAACATCGGTTACTGTGATGATGTCATAGGACTTCTTATGTATAATTCTTATGACTAGTCCTCGTTTCCTTTTCCTCCTCAGTCTATCCCGACCTTTGTAACATCAGTCTGGCAGCAGTCGGAGACACGGAGAAGCACCGAGGCCGCATTGCATTCTGGGATGATGTGTACGGCTTCAACATGTCGTGCATGAAGAAGGCTGTGGTACCCGAGGCGGTGGTGGAAGTGTTGAAAGCAGACACACTCATCTCTGAACCTACAGTCATACAGGTAAACAGGCTCAAAGGTGATGTACTGTGACATTTACACTAATAATAATAGAAATCTTTATTTATAGAGTTATTTATATATATATTTATTTATTTATAAGTGAACAGCAGAAGAACTCTAGCTAGTCGCTGTTCTGATCCCAGATTTCCTGCTATTGAATGTCCTATCAAACAAAGGCAAAAGTTACACCAAGACTAAACCTTTAGTGCACACACTCCTACATTCCTACTTTTTTTTTTTTTCAATAGCAGTAATCAGAGTGTAACCTCCGTTTTGTCATGCATTACACCAACTACCTGATATCAAACACATTTGTGTGGACTGGACGTATCGACAAACCAATATGTCAGTCTGATCCTAATTCAAAAGGTTCTTCAAGCTACAAATGGGAGAAATAGAGTTTGTGGGGTCCAAGCTGTTAGGCTGCAGACAGCCAATGAGAGCAGGAGTTAGCTGTGCAGAGAGAGATAGGGCCCTGAAGGTGTGTGTGTGTGTGTGTGCTGATGCTGTAGAGCTGGGTGATTGATCTGTCTAATCCTTGTTTAAGTTCCTCTTTAGGAAACTTCATTACTCTCAGCCCCCTGTGGATAGAGCGGTTTTTACTGGGCTGATGGGAGAACACACACAGTACACGCAGATAAAAAACACACACACACACACACACACACACACACACACACACACACACACACACACGCAGAGTCCAAACATCTAAGAGCACTGATACCTCTTCTGAATCTCTCCGTGTGTTGAAATTTTCTTCTGTCTCGCCTCTCAGACTGCAGTCTGTTTCTGGGCTGGTTGGTCTGTTTGCTAAGTAGGCCTTACATGTCCTCCACCCATCTGTGGATGTGATGAATGAGGGCAGAACTTGATATAATGGAATTTGAATCCTCTAATCGATAGTTTCTCCCCTCCAGTGACAAATAGACAGCCCCTCTGCCCAAATTACACGGACTCTCATCTATTGCCTCCCGTTGATACGATCCAATAACATTCCATTAAGGCTGGCTGCTATTCCGTAAAATTGAGAGCCCTTTCATGGAATTATAAATCCCTGCATCTCAGATGAGGTTTTTTTTTCTTAGTGTGAACAGATGTGAAATTTTAACTTGAGGTTTGGTCAGCTTAAATCATTTGATGATGCTTCAAACATGTTTTCTAGGAATGTAACGATTCACTCAGCTCAGGATACGATTCTCTCACTGTTTATCTTACTAAATGAGACTGAAGTGAAAAAGATCCTTTAGTGGCTGCAAACCCACTTGTCAGTGTGATTTGGCCTTTTAATGTTTGTTTTATCCCAACAAGGGGAGGTGATTGGAGCTTCTCATTGTGGTGTGGATTAAATGCTGCATCATGTTGGTTGTGCTCTTTGTGTAGTTCTCTGTCTTCTCGCAATATTTGCTCACAGTTTTTGTCTCGTCTGTTTTCTTCTCACCGCTTTCATTTCTTAGGGAAGCTAAAATGCTTCCACACCTCCAAGACCACACCTTCATTTTTAGGAGTACCGATGTGAATCTTGACACCTTTGAATCAATTTATCACGATTTCTGATTCATCTTTACATCCCTACCGTTTACTGTAATGTGTCAGAGTAATTGTTTTAATAGTTAAGATAGTCTGTTTGCTACTATGTCGTTAGCTGTTGTGCATAAAGAGCCAAAATCAAGCTGTAAGAGCCCAGAATTTAATATGTTGGGGTATTCGATTCAATTACAAACAGAAAAGGTCAGAACTAGCACTAGAGCTCTTTGTAATATAGCAATAAGTAAGGTCTTTTACCTGCTTTCTGTAACATAACAATGAGTAAGATCTTTTTACCTGCTCTTTTGTAATGTTAAAGACAAAGAGTAAGGTATTTTACCTGTTTTTTGTAAAGTGTCTCGAGATAACACTTGTGATGAGTTGACGCTATACAAATAAAAATTGATTGATTGATTGATAGACAGCACAACTGCCACAAAAACAGTGACCTGAGGATCCATCTTATGTTTTGTCTTTTTTTTTCATTTGCTTGAGCACAGTTCTTATTGTCATCACTGTTTATCTTTTTTTCTAAATGTGTGTGTGTTTGTTACTTTCCACAGACGATTGACTGTAACAAAGTGTGTCTGTCTGAACTGGAGTTCACATCAGATTTCTGCTTGAAGATAACAAACACCACAGACTGTACGGTGAGTACACACATATGAACACTATTCCCTTCTAACAGGAAGACATCCAGAATGCAAGAACTACAAAATAAAACAGGAAACACTAAAGACACAGTGAAAACTCAAGGTTGTAACAATTACAATACACACAGGATGTAGAGACACACAAGGGTAATACCTTACAAAATAAAACAGGAAACACTAAAGACAAGACTCGGGAAATGCGCACACAGGGAAAAGAGAAACAAATGAGAACATTTGAAGCACTAGAAACTTAAAGCAGGAATATGAACAGATAAAACACAAACAACAAAATAAAACAGGAAATTAATTATAAACAAAATATTCAACAATACAGGAATAAACCATGTTACCTGGTGGCACTCCGCTTAAATGTGTGAATATAGTGTTTGTTGCTGAAACCTGAAATGCATAAAATTATTCTGAAGGAAATCTACTTAAAATGATGACATAGTAGGGAAATTGTTGTTAAAAAAGCCAAGAGGAGGTATTATTCAGTGAATCTCTGAGATTAAAATGTATTTATTTATTTATTTTTTACAGGAAAATAAACAGAGAGATTACAAAGTCAAAAGTTCTTGAGGAAAACAGTAAGAAGTTATTTTGGATTAAACCTCAGATTATTTATCAATGAGATTTTACACTTTTAGAAGAGCCGGTAACTTAGCAACAAGGATAATATTCTACAATTCTACAATTCACTTAGCAGACGCTTTTATCCAAAGCGACGTACATCAGAGAATATGAAATAATACTTAACTCAAACTGTACCTCCTCTTAAATAATTATTGTTCGTCCAATAGTCCTCCTGATAGTCGTATCATTCTTGTAAAAGTCTCGTTAATGAAGGACTTTGTAACTCCTGAGAATACTGTTGAATGTTATTGTAATGTACAGCTTTAATCTTTTTTAATTGGAAGATTATCTATCACCCCATCACCATCATTCTTTAATCACCCCTAAGAGCCATTGTACTTGGTAACCAGAGGCGACACACACAAAATAACCTGAAGGAAAAAGTTTGCACATCCACCGTCTCCACCCGTCATTTATCACAGACATGATGCGGAAAAGGAACGGGGCAGTACAAACATCCGTCACTTCACGTTGATGGATGAGGTTTCTATATTTAAGAGGATGTCCGTCAGTCGGATATTTAATAGAGTTTCCAAACGAATCAGAGCAGAGAGGCTAATGTGACTCTGTATGACATGTCACACAACATGGTGAATGTTCACAGCCTGCTTGACCCGTCACTGTGTCACAAATATCCAAACACTCACACAACAACAAGACACCTCAAGACCCTGTACTAAGACTGGATTATCTCTGTGGTTAAAGGTTATTCCTTATGTTTCATTCTTTACAACTTGGGCACCCTTTCTCAGAGTCAGTGGGAAGTAAATTGAACAACTTTGTAAAGAGCTGTTACAGTCACTCAGCTGATTGTTTGAGACCTCAAGGCTCAAGTCTTTGAACTGTTTGGGAGCAAAACCCACAAGAGGCGTTGAAGAATAGCTCTGTCCTAGATGTATCTTCTTTCTTTCTGTGAGCCCTTAAGCAAGTCCCATGAAGCTCCTTTTACACTTCAGAACTGTTGAAGCAGATTCTGTTGAGTCTCTGAATTATCCAGAGAAACCACAGGTTTGTTTTTGGAAGGAGTGGTCGCTGTTGACCTTTCAATAAAAGGTTTTTAGCAGTTGTATACTGGACTAACTGCAGGTTAAGGTATGCCTGTTTTTTAATACCTCATTTCACCATGTGACTTTAGTTGGAATACATTTCTATGCAGATAGTAATGTAGTAAAAGCCCTGTAGCAGGAAATTAAATCCAGCAAAGTAAAAAGATAAATGTAGAATTGTGAATTTTGACGATATAAACTCCACATGGTTGTGTTTGCCACCATAACATGTAAAATTTAAAGATGCGGAGTATTTCCATTTTCTGTAAAACTAGACAAATGTGTATTTATTTATGTAGCAGAGTCAGTTAGTGCGCAAACTTTCCATCAGTGACTATTTTAAAGTTGAGCAGCCTGCGACATGAGAAAGCACGACGCTGCGCAACGTGTTTCCCCTACTACTCCTGTAGGTTCTTTATACCGTGCATACAAGAGCACTAGATGTCATATGCAAGGGGAAACTCAAATTCACAGAGCAGAGAAGGAAATATTGAACGGATGCAGCGTGTACAGCCAGCGTATAACACTCACGTTCTGTTAGGACACTGTGTAATGCTGATCCCCATTTAAATGCTCACATTTAGTGTTGCAATGCTGGATTCCAAAACTAAAATTGGGCAAAGTCTCAGATGACGAGGTTAACATTATGTTGGAATAATCCCAGTCACGCGATAGTCCCCGAATTTTAAACCGATAATTTCACTAGACGGTTCCAAGCCTCTACGTAAGCGTTGAAACCTCCCCTGGTAGCCCTGCAGCGTTCAGCCCCCCACAAAGGCTTCCAGAGAGCTGGACAATCAGAAGACAGTGAGGGCGGGGCACCTTAAATCTTCAATTACTTAAAAATTGAAAAGTGCAATTTAACAGAATATCAGGATACAATATTCAGCCTTTAACAGAATTTTAACCCCTGTTATATTTATGTATCTCTGTTCAACATCACAATCACTCTCAATGACTCACTGTCATCAGAAATGAATGTTTTATCCCATTTTTTAAATTGTTTAAATAATTATTCCTAGATAAGACATCGCTTGACTCTTCTAAAAAAAAAAAAAAAAAAACTAAAAAAAAAACCTGACAGAGCCTTTGAGCTGTGCTGTAGGTCAGCATGACCAATGACTGCAACACAAAGTGTGTCCTCAGTGAGGGTCAGCCACAGGCACCAAAGCATGGACAGTGGTTTACGATTCTATTTGGTGAGCTGCCGGCAGCCACCTTCATAACCCCCACACCCCATCTTCCCCTGGACTTCCACCTTCCTCTCTGGGATTCTCCTGAACGGCCTGAATGCTGCAGCCCTCTGACACCCTGCACTGTGAGAAGTGGTCTGTCTGTCTGTAGAAAAAGCTCATTGTGTTTGGAGCAGTTTTGTGTCGTGCTGCAGTGTTGCTGCACTGTCTGGTGTATTGGTTTAATGGTTAATCAATATGTGGTTATTATCTGGCCTGCGCTCCCTGGGTGAGGCCGGAGAATTTAATGGGAATTTGTAAACATCCTCTCATTTTTCCTGTCTTTTTCTGCTCTGTAATTGAAAACATCCCGTTTCTATCTCTGGGTGTAAGTCCAGTCATGTTAGGGGGACACTGCCTCAAAACAAATGATTGGATCATATAGTATGGATGTGTACTTTTCCATTTTCATTATATTTTTTTTATAGGTGTTTAGAGAGACAATTACTTTTTTTTTTCCTGCTTTCATGTGCTATTTCACGCTTCTGATCATCCTCACTTGCAGTGCTCATATGCACAAGCATACATAAAAATATATGATTTAGCGTTCAGCCAAGCAATAACACTTGTTTTATCTGTGTTTTTATGGCTTTTGCAATGCAGGCGATCTGCATAGGAGGTATCACTTGAACTCGGAGTCTCTTGCTTCCTGCCTGCATGCTTGTCCCACGATTTACAGATGGATTATTGACCTGCAGGAGCAAGGTGTTGTTACCATGAAGATACTGATCTGCAGTCAGTATCTGCTGCGGCTGCTCGGTAGTAGTTAAGGTTAGGATGTGTGAAGGGTAAACCGCTCTTGGACCAGTGCTCGGGGATCGGTGAGGGAGAGCTGCTGCGCCTCTCGCCCTGTGATGGAGCGCCTGCTTTTGTTCCCCCGTCGACAGTCCATTCATCAGCTCAGCCTGCCTAACCTTGCATTAAATGAACAGCACAACCCCTGCGTCTGCGCTGTTCACACACAAGACAAATCCTCTCACTCTTTCCTTTTCCTTTTTTTTTTTTTTTACACTCCTTCCCTTGCCTTCCTTTAAAATCTCACATCCTCTGCGCCTTGAATACAACATGTCTGCCTTAAGCCGTGAAGGCACATACAGATATAAATGTGTGCAGAAACTTTCCATTACACTTGCACCTGAGCTCCCACAGCTCCGTGATCCATTTACCTGAACTGTAGAGCAGGTAGCTGGAGTGCCTCATCCCCTCCTCATGATGTATGCTGATGGTGTGGCAGAAAAGGAACAAGTTTCTGTCTGTAATTAATTTTACACTGCCGTCTCACTGCTGCTGATGTAGCTACTGTAGCGCTACAGAGAAAAAAACGTCTCTGCAATCCATCTCTGGCCTGCTTTCCATCATATTTAAATTATGAGTTTGGGGGGGTTGGCCTTCTGGACTGACAGGGAAGGCACTCGTCAACTTCAAGGACGATTTTCAGCACATTAAGAAAGGAAATTGGTAATGAAAAAACCCTCTCTAACTCTGAACACTGTCTTCAGTATATGACAGTCAGAGATGGGGTGTCAGCTGTCAGTCAACAAGAATGAGGTCGGCTGGCTCTTTCTAGTCGGCTGTCAACAAATACTCAACATGCTGTATTCTTTATTTACACGTCAAAATCAAATGTCACATCGACAGTGACTAAAAAAGTTCCCTCTGGCTCCATTGTGGGAATTTGGAAACCAGTGACTATAGCAGTAAAGCATGGTCCAACAAAAGTTTAATGCCTCACACTCAGACTAGAATTCTTTCCCAAACAAAAGTAAAAAAAAAAATCATGAGTAGGAGAGATGTAGATTACAGCTTCAGGGGCCTCTCTTCTTCTGTTAATAGTGAAAGGCGGTCAGTACGTTTACATACAGTTAGTAAAAGTTGATTTATTGTGTAAGTCTTTCTAAAACTGGACTTTTGAAATCGTCACAACATGTTGACATGTAAGTCCGACTGAAATCCTACTGAGTCAAATTTCCAGAAGTCAAAATAGCACACCTAAAGTGTTTTCAGACCAAACAGTTCTGGGAACGTTTTGTAGAGAAACTCTTCCCAGATAACTGCACACTATGGGATCTTTTTCTCTGTCTGCATT